AGATGTAGTCAATTTGAATTCTATGTATTCCATCTGGTGAGGTCCATGTGTATAGTTGTTTCTTATGCTGTCTAACGAAGGATCGCTAAATCCATATGTTGTTAAGTGCTATTGGTTCCTACTCATATCGACCTTATATAGGGTTTCCAAGGAGCGGTTGGCGATTCAAACATACTTTGTGGTCCAGCGCATTAACTCACAGTGACACAGCAGGACTCCATATCTCTGACCTCAGTTCTTGGTGCATTGACAATGTAGGCATTTTTCTTAATTTAAATGTGAATTTAATTTAGAATCTAAATGATAACTTCCACAACTGTAATCTTTTTCCTTGATTGAAATTACTGACAATAATCCATATTCAGTCTACCAGGAATGAAATTTTGTACACTGAAGGACCCTGCGCCTGATGAACAAAATGGGATTGCAGCTATACTAAGTCATGCTGGATAAAGTCCTGCTCAGCCTCCAGTTTCTGGAAAGTTTGTCTTTATTACACCAAGAGACCCTTCCCCTGGTAGTTTCAGGTTTCAGGAAAATCTCCATAACCTGCTCATTGAAAAACTGTATCAGGACCACACTGCCTTAAATACCCCAGTCTGTAAGAAAGCAGGCTGGTTCTTGGTCTCTAGTGACTGAGTGCCCCCAGGTTTACTCTCAATAAACCTGCCTGCTGTTGAAGCCTAGACTCTCCTCATCTCTTTCTTTCTTATTCCTTACATGCACCATTCCTTCTACACAAATTTCTTTCTCTGTTTTGCCTGCTTGAACTATTCCTACCTGTCAAAATCCAGTTTAAATTCCATCTTCTCTGAAAATATTGGCTGACTCTCTAACAGATTAAGTAATTTTCTGATTTATAAAACCCTATTCAGGAGGGGGTTAGAGAGAGAAGACAGCCAGCAAGGCAGGAAGCTGTGGCTTAAAAAGGCCACCTGAGCTGGGCTCTCTCGCCTTTTGTTCATGGTCTCTTGTCAGCATGCCTCTTCAGTCCCACAGGCACTGCTGCTCCCTCCGCAGCAACCTTGCCCTCCCACTTTTCTCTGTTGCCTGGGCGAAGTGCTACTGCTGTCCTGGGCTGGCACCGCAGCCCTAAGTTCACTGACATCTTGCCACGGCCCAGCAGCCCGGGCTTGCGCTTTCCTCTCAGCGACACTATAGCAAGGCGGTAGCAGACCACGAGGACCAGAAGTGGAACCGAGGGCATCCTGCTGATCATCAAGCCCTGAAACCATGTACTGAGCCTCTCCTTTCCCATTTTGCGTGACCACAGCTCCTGGTAAGTCATATAGGGTTACCAGGTCCAGCACAGCCAGCACCATACCTTCCAAGGGAGGTATTGGTTACAACACAGGTGTGAGTGTGGATGGAGTAAAAGCTTTGGCTTCTCTGATGACATATAAATGTACCATTTGGGGGTGCTAAAGCTGGTGTGAAGATCAATCCCAAGAACTACATTTACAATGAATTGGGAAAGATTACAAGAAAGTTCACCATAGAGTTAGCAAAGAAGGCTTTATTAGTCCTGGCCTTGATGTACCTGCCCCTGACATGAGCATGGGCAAGCGGGAGATGTCCTGGATGGCTGACACATGTGCCAGCACCCTAGGGCACTATGATCTGAATGCACATGCCTGCGTTACTGGTAAGCCCATCAGTCAAGGGGATATCCACGGACTCATCTCTGCTAATAGTCGTGGTGATTTCCATGGGATTAAAAACTTCATCAATGAAGC